GAGGAGGAAATAAATCGCTCACTTTTTGGATATGCATTCTTTTTTTGGCTCCCAGATATAATTTAGCAAATTACCTCATGTAGTATGTTGAAATATGTGCCTTGGTAACCAGAAAAACTGAATCCTAGTAGCCAGAGCATATGAAGGCAGTTCTCCAATCTGGGCATTGTATGCTATTTCAAGCAAGCATCAGTCCCGAGAATTGCATTACAGAAAAAAACAAAATACACATCAATAATGTATCCATTGAAAAAGAATTTTCTTGTAACTAGATCCAGGAATACATGTAAAAGCTATTTCAAGTTAGGTGGTTACTAGTAACAGCATAAAATCTGTGTCCTTCATATATGTCTGCACCAAATACAGTATTTTTTTTATAGAAACACTTAGATTAGGAAACCTGAAATTACTCATTATGTAGCTTGACAAAAGGTTCAGGGTGTCTGCTGACATGCATGGTCAAGTCTAAGTGTACTTCTGTTTTTAATTTGATTTTCCATTCCATTATTTCACTTAGGTAAATCTATAAAAACATCAAGCTTGCAACTTTCCCTCATGTTGAAAAACTTCATAAAGTTTTAAAAAATCTGAACTGTGATCTTTCCCAATTAAAAGCTTCATTTCTAAACCTTTGTCTTTTGGTTTTTTTTTTTTTTTTTTTTTTTAACTGTTTTCAAGTTAGACCTGGGGAGCTCTTTTTAACCTACAATGCCTGGACTTCATCCCCAACACCCGCACCCCCCTTCCCGCTGAGGTTTAATTTGCGATTGTGGCAGGGCCCGCCCACCCCACGTGTTTAGTCTCCCAGGTCCTTCTCATGTGTGGTCCTCCACAGATCACCAACTCAAGAACACCAAGATTCTGGAGTCTTCAGAGCTGCCATTTGCTCTTGTCCTTTCCCTCAAGGAAATAAATAATAAACACACCAATTTCATGCGTTCATTTCTGCTAAGATAAAACATGTTTTTTATTTCTATGTTCCAGTCAACTTTCCAGACAGTACAGCTGACCGCATCTGCAGAAATAAACACCTACAATCCTCAGATATATGTGATCGAAGAAAACACAGTCACGGTGAGTATACCTTATCACTCCTAGTAGGCACTGGTCTTTGATAGGCATTCTGTTTCTGAAAACTTGAGAGTAGTGGTTCTTCTCACCTACATGGTTATAGAATATAACTGAAACTCTAAAAACCTGATGTGAGGTTGAGCTTTTTGGCAAAGGTCTCTGCTACTCAAACAAGTCCAGTGAAGTACTTGTCCTCCGCATTCCCCACCCCCACCTCCCCTTGTTGGCAAAGCTGGACCAGCAGTGACAGTGCAGCAGAAGGCACAACAGAGGGGGTTCATCTTATTTGTGACTCCTTCCTCCGTGCCTAAACCAGCACCACCAGCTCTTCCTTCCTTCTTTTGATTTCACAAAACAGTCTAGGTCACAGGCCATAACATTCAGGTCATTCTTATTTGAATCGTAGATTTTATTTTACAGTATTTTTTAAAGAGAAAGTGCTGAAGTATGCTTAATAAATAAGGCATTTATTAGAGGGCAATTTTTTTTTTTTAGTATTCCTTATAGCTACATACTGGCACTGTGTATAGGGTCCATTCATTAGTTCTTATAGTCTAGAAAATTATAAATGTTCCCCTTGATATAAAACAAAAAAAGGGTCTTGCAAAGAAATGCACTTTTAGAGAAAACAAAGGCTCACTGTTCTAAGGGCTGGCACAGGACAACTTTCCTTTGCAGTGAGCCTCTGGTTGGAATATGTCATATTTAGATAGAGCAGGATTTCCATGCTCTGCTAATCTGCTGGCAGAGCCCTTTCCATTTTTCCTCCTAATGCTTTTGTTACAAACTAGAAGCCAGTTTAAGACTCTATCCCAAAGACCAGCCTGGCAGCTGGCCTCAGTCCACTGTTGTAGCCATTAAAAAGCCAATGGCCCTGTGAACTCTGGACCTCTCTCCATACTTGAGAGTAAGGCTCACACACGGCCCTGGTATCTCACTCTGGTCCCAGGGGAAATTATTCCAAAAGAGGATGCTGTTTGGCCTCTGGCTTAAGACCCTCAGTCAAGGCCCACACCCACTCTTCAGAGGCTGGGGCATGGAAAATCAGAAATGGAGCCAAAGGAAATGTGGACTTCAAATTCAAAGTATTATGAACTTTAGCAGTACTATAGATATTTTAACAGTTCATTTTAGAAAAATGTAGTGTTCAGACTATCTGAATATCTGCTGAGGTCTTTTTTTTTTTTTTTTCCAGAAAGTACTAGTAAATAAGTTATAATTTGAAATTAACAATTTTAATGAACCTTTAGATTTTTTTTTCTTGGTTTTCTCTGAGCAATATTGGTAAATAACAAAGGCCAACTATTAATTGTCTATGAAACTAGATTTTGAATCCAAATATTCTAGATGATTTTTTGAATATTTGGAATCCAGATAATAATCTGACCTATTCTCTATAGAGTAGATTAAGTGATTCTTAAATTTGTTTGAATTCTGGTCCATTTAAAAATCTGAGAAAAAAAAACTTACACTCGTGGATCCCTTTGGATCCATGGACCCCAGACTGGGAGATTCTGGAATGGAGAGCAAAGATATGACTGCCATCAAGCAGTGAACTATATGAATTCAGTTACTTTATTCCTAAATTTATAAAGCCTTATTTTATCCCTTGAAAATACAAATGAGAAGTAATAGAATTACCAAAAGGCCAGACTCAAATTTAGTCCAACTCATAAATTCTGTGATAAGCAGCAGCTTGTCTGCCATGGTCATGTAGTATTCAACCAATCAGTAAGATTTTTGTTACCTTGCTTTGCCCACAATGTAGTTCTTAGTATTCTTAATACACTTTGTGGAGGAAATGGTAGGGATTCTTTCTGTAACTAAAAACATATATATACATACAGTAAAACCTTGGATTGTGAATAACTTGTTCTGCGAGTGTTCCGCAAGACGAGCAAACATTTCTAATAAATTTTAACTTGATCAACGAGCGATGTCTTACCATAGGAGTAGTCCGTGATGCTGAACATCCCACTGTCACAACTGAGCTGGTGGTTCCTGAAATTCGCTTTGATTCACAAGTACTTTGGATTACAAGCATGTTTCTGGAACGAATTATGCTTGCAAACCAAGGTTTTACTGTATATAAAATATATGGTATTTTACCATTAGAACTCTTAGGGCTGCCATTCTATTAGAGTCACAAAGATTCCCAGGAAGTGGACATAAAGGATCACACATAGCCTCCAGGACAATTTATCACTGAAAAGGTCAACTTGAGCCCTGAGCTATTAACTATCACTTTTTAACAATGCACATCAAGTACTCTTGAGTGAGAGTTAAATGAAATCAATATTTAGAAGCCCGGTACAAAGCTGCTGTTGCTTAATCACAAAGCATCTGAGTTGTTGATTTGTTTGGTCCTTGGCCACCCCTGCCCCCTTCCAAGTTTGGACTCCAAATGCTGTCATTTGACAATGAGACTGTCTGCCAGAAACTAAAGTTCCTATTTCATAAATAAAGCATCTAAAGTTGTCAGAGATGACATAACCACTAAATACGGACACAATTAAAGGGAGGAAACTAGAAAACTTGTATTCTTTGCCTGTACTTTGCAGAAGCATTATCTCTAGAAATTGTACTGCACAATGTTTAGCTGAGGAATGAGATCCTGACCGAGTGACATCACCTTTCTAGACCACCATTAATAAAATCAGAGACTTTGAATAGACCATCTCACTTTTTTGGGGATGCTACCATTAGTTAACTCAACTGTTGCATATATACATACATTTACAGATTCCCATTACGATAATGAAACCCCATGAGAAAGCTGAAGTACCAACTGGAGTTATAGTAGGAAGTGTAATTGCTGGAATCGTTTTGCTATTAGCTCTGGTTGCAGTTTTATGGAAGGTAAGAAAATTATCATACTTAAAAATATGGGGCTCCTGAATACATCTGTCTTGAATTTCCTTATCAAACAGTAACCTTAAGTTTTATGTGGTACCTACCTCCATCATAAGAGAAAAGGAAAGGCAAATTTATTTGCAAATTCTCACATCCGTTCCTGAAAACCATCAGTAAGGATTTTATATACAATATATAAAATGAGGTCTGGATCCCGATACTTTTTTTTCCAACCTGACTTTTATCCAGACCCCTGAATGTTTTGTTCAGGTACCAAAAAAAAAAAACAAAAACAAAAAAACCAGACCCTGGAAAATGTATGCCGTTCAGTTCAATCCTGTGTATTATTTCCTCACTGAAAAGCTGAGCCCAAGTCACAGTCTGCACATCATCCTCTCCAGAGCCCCAGAGATTCCCACAGGGGCTTTAGTGGGCAGCCAAGGGGGTCTGAGGCCCGATAACAAAATAATTCACACGTGGTAAAAACTGTACATCACCTTACAGCTTGGCTTCTTCAAAAGAAAATATGAAAAAATGTCCAAAACTGCGGATGAGATTGACGAGACCACAGAACTCAACAGCTGAGCCCCACGGCGGTCTCACTGCAACGTGAGCTGTGGCAGCACAGCCAGGGTTTGCTGTTTGCGTGAATGGATTGGTTTTAAATCCCAGTGCTTTATGTGTAAGCGGTAAAACTCGCCTGATACTTTACGAAAACTGCAGGTCAGTTTGGGAAGAAGAAATTGGGTTTTTTTTTTTTTGGGGGGGGGGCTAGGAGTAGAAAGGGTAAAAGACGTATTTTATATGGGCGGGGGGTGGGGGCAGGGAGTGACCTTTACACTGGCTGGTCCAGAGTTTACATAATGTGCATTGTGTCAGAAACGAAATGCTTCCAAACATGAGAAGTCTTAAAGAAAAATAGAACCTTTCTCAGATTTGGTGGGGGGGAACCCCAACCATTTAAAGTGATTGTTTTTAAAGTGACCACAAGAGTGGAAGTACTTGGCCTAGCTATATAATTAGCTTGGATACTGAGGTTGATGGGGGGAGAAAGACAACACAGGTCTTCAACTTATGCTGGTCATTCAGAGCTGTCAGAGGTTATCTGAAGTGACCTTTTTGTTAACGAAGTAAGGTATAATTTGCTGCTGTCGGCCTTCTCAGAGTCCCTTTTTTGCTATGATCTATTTATCAAAACAATCTTGGATACCTGGTAGGAGCCTAGAGTGTGCTTCCTACAGAGGAAACCTCCATTTAAGGGGGTGGGGGCTGGGAGGGTAGTTTAGAAGTCAAATGCAGAATTGTTTAAAATCTGTATCACAACATTGATGGTAAAACCCTATCTACTAGAGGCCCAGCCTGTGCCAAAAGAAGTAGGAAGTTCCCCTTCTCCTTCACCATGCACAACTGGCTGACTTGACTGCCTGGCAGGGACCTAGTTTGAATTTATGGAAGAGGAGTCGTTTCTTTGGCATCCTTCCTCCTTCCGTACTAAACCACTCTTGCACCTACCTCCTGGTGTCCCCCCCATCTTCTAGAAGCCCACTAAGGCGTGCCTTCCTCTCTAGTAATTCAGGGTTAGCCACCTCCCTTTGGCCTTCATCCAAATCTCCAATTCGTTGGAGCAGCTGCTCTACACCAGGTGTGAGGAAGAAAAATCATCTCACTTACCTACTTGCATGAATAATCCCTTTAACTCCAGGGAGCTATTTTCCTTTATTGCTAGACAAGTAAGAAACATAAGCCACGGTGAATTTCTAATTGTTGGAATTTCAGGCAGTGCAAACAAAGTACAAAACAAAACTCGGGAATTTGCAAATTACGAGGAGACCTTGGAAGCCCCCAAATTAGCAGGTACACCCTCTGTGCTTGTGTGTTGCTGGAGGACTTAAACTTTCAGAAGAATGACTCCCACCTGGGCAAGTATGCTCATTAGGTAGCTCCTTAGGTCCCAACTCCTGGAACACTTATTTGGTCAAAAGAGGATGAAACCCAGTGGTCCATATTTTAACAAGCATCCCAGTCGCTAACGTAAATGGACTGCCTTGGAACGCCACCGTTTCTCCTGCACCTTCGTTTGTTTGAGCCCACACACTCTCCAGGAGGGACTGGGAGAAAGGCGGAGGCAAAGGCAAGTGGGAACTATTTAATGTCAGAAACTGCATACCTAAAGCTTTGGACAAATCACTTGGCCTCTTTAAACTACACTGTCCTCATTATAAAATGAGAAGACTGGGTTGGAGTTCAGCAGCAATGCTTTTAGTTTTGAAAGTCGAAGATCTGGATTTCTTACAATTACAGACAATCCTCAAAAAACCTGACTTTGAAAACAAGTACGTGCCTGTGTGCATCAGGCCCAACTGCTCTTCTGGCCTGGCTCCTGCAAGCTATCTAGAGCTGTGTTGTCTGGTAACTTATTTTGTATTTGACAAAGCAAAACAAACCAGGTGGAAAAATCAGCCATAAAATGGCAGGGGCTTATAGCTTTGGCTATCTCTAGATGTGCTAAAGCCCAATTCTTATAACAGCTGTGTGGATTCAAATACTTTGAGTCCAAAATTTTTTTAAAGAGTGGAGGAAAAACCTAAGTTGATAAAGAATATTTAAGAAACCATGTAACTACTGTGTACATATACAGACTAGTTCTTCGGGGTGCTATACAAAGAATTCTAGCAGGTCATTCCTTTTATTTCACTCTGCCTCGCCTTTCTTACAGAAGCACTAAACTGAGGTCACATGCCCACGGCGAGCTTGAGTGCTTTGGCCAAGCCGGGGCTTAGGTAGTGTACCTCGTCAGGACTGTCTCCATGAAGCAGCTGGCTTACTACAACCTAAAAACTTAGCCACTGGTCTCTGTGCCATTTATTCCACTGGAGCAGGGTTTCTTTGCCTTGGCCCTGCTGACAAGGGTCTGGGTGACTCCTTGCAGGGGGCTGTCCTGTGCACAGTAGGGTGTTGAGCAGCATCCCTGGCAGCTACCAGGTGCCAGGAGCATCCTCTCTCCCAAGTTGTGACAATATACAAGTATCTCCAGACACTGTATCACACTTCCTGGGAGGCAAAAGTCACCCCAACAGAGAAGCACTGCGCCAGGAGCAAGTGGCCTAAATGGGCAACAGATTTGAGGCAGGGGCTCTAGTGAGGAGTATTTCTCCAACACTTTTAAGCAAAGGCGAGTATTTAGCCAAGAAATCAAAGAACAAAACCCCACTGCTTGAAAACAAGTTATGTATTCCTAGTCAGCCTTACTTTTGCTTTAAAAGTAAGTATACTATGGGGCTTAAAAAACACCATCTTAAAGTTTCCATTTCATAAATGGTATATATAGACAAGATCTGTAGAATGTGATTAAAAAGAGTTGCTTCATGCATGGCTGCCACACAAGCCATATAAAATAGTAAAATAGTTTGTAAAGAAGCTGCATTGAGACTTGAAATTGTGCATCATTCATTTTAGTAGCAAAAGAACTGGAGATTTTTTTTCTAGCTGGCAGTGTTCTCTTTATAAAATAGTAGAAATTATTAACTGTGAAAAAGAACTAAACCCAATTTATCCTAATCACATAAGTGATTATACAAAAAACTATCATAAAAGGTATAATTTTATAATGTATTTCCCTCTCCTGATATACAGCTGTAAGTTATTAAAAATCTCCCACGCTGATGGTGCGGAGCCTGCTTAGGATTCTCTCTCTCCACCCTTCCCCGACTCGCTCTAACAAAAAACTTAAAAAAATATACATATCGATTAAGACATTAAACAGAAAATAGGATCCCTCAACCGTGGCCTAACTTTACTTTTTCAATTTGCACACGAAAAATACCTGCATTCATGACTTTTCAGGACTATGCCCTTCATGTGTATTAACAAATACCCATTTTAAACAACTTGAAAGACTAAACATCTAGAGGTAGAAGATAAACATGAGGGTAAAGTCTGAAATAAAAAGTGTTAACTACTTCTTCGAACCTTAAAGGATGAAACCGTTTTTTTATATTTACATATGGCTACATTTTCATCTGTACCTGGTTTATTTTGACAGATAAAATGTATATATTGCACGACTATGTTAGAATTGTACATTTTCTAAAGAGAAAGGATCTTGGATATTTTCCTTCATGTAAAGTATAAATCTTTAAGATGTGATTAAGTATATTTGTTTTTGATTAACTGGTTTTTGCCTTTTTTCTCTCCAAAAATATAAAAATGAATGTATCATGTTCATCAAGTTGCACAACTCATTTGATTCCTGAGAAATCATTGGAAAAGTAATCAACATTAACGAGAAAAGCTCTTAACTAAGAATGAGACTCTAAAGTGTTTAATTATAAACCACTCTTCATACCACATTACTAAATTATAATTAAAGTTGTTTTGAAAATAAAGTTACTGACTTTGGACTTCTGATTTTATGGCTCGTATATTTGTGTATTTATCGTATGCACTCACCCTGCTTCAGAACACGTTCAAGACTCCATGTAAGAGTGAGGATGTATCTAATTTCTTACATTACTAGCAGTGACCACAGGCTGTTTTGTAAGAACCTTCAATTGCCTTCATAGTTTACGGACTAGATGTAAAACCTTGCTTCTAAACGTGTGGTCCACAGATAGGCAGCCCTGCATCATCTGGGGCCCATTATCTCCACGGCATCCAGAAGTGAATCCGAAGGGAAGTTTAACAAGATTCTCCAACGAATCATGTTCCATATTGAAAGTTTGAGAAGCACTGCTCTAAAGCACAACTTCTCTCTCCAAACGTGTACTTGGAAGAGAGAGAAAAAAAAGTTGGCCAAACCATTGCAACTTGCCAAAACATTCAGGGTTTTTTTTTTACTCTAGTTTTAGTAGTAAGCAGGAGGGTTTAAATATTTTAAGGATTAAATATGCTAAAGGTATTAGGTGTTGTGAAAGCTACGTATCCAGCTTACCGACTGGCCCTCACTGTACAGACTGGCGCATTAATGCAAAGTTTGGGTGGCACATGTTTCCATTTCCATGGATACACACGTGTCTCCCATTCCCGCATCAGGTGATTGCTCAGACGCCTTCCTCAGCCCTGCCCATCTCAGTCCCGGTGAACCAAGTCGTAAGGGCCGCTGACTGCAGAACCATCACAGTGTGTCTCGTACACATCGTACATTAAAATACAACCATGAACAAAAAGAACATTAGCTCTGGCACAGAATAGACCCGTATTCCCAAACTGGAAAATAGTTTTATAATTACTCATTTTTTAAAAAGTAATTCCTTTTACTTACTCTACATCACCTTTTAGAAACTATAAACAGCACTTTAAAAACTTCCATCCTCATCCTATCGTATAACTTAAACCCTTAATATTTTAAACTCTGATACCAATTAAACAATGGAAATAATTGTACTCAAAGTCAGGCACTACTTTAAGAACCACTCTGACCTAACTTAAAGAAAAAGGCTAACTAAACTGAACTTTTTGGCTCCATGCAAAAAGTTTTTGCATAGAAAAGTAACCGACTAAAAACCTCACTCAAGTTGCTCTTACCTTAGCCCTGGCTCTACTGCCCTCTGCTGGGTCAGCAACTAACTACATCATAAATCATTCCT